CGGGGGTGAGTTTACCTATAGAGTATGGGGGTGGGATGGGGAGTTGTCATTAAACCTTCTGGGGACCCCAAGAGCCCCCCACGCGCACAGCGTGACTCAGTGGCGCCCTTTAAAAGGATAATTTGATTGATGACGTAGACAATTAGACTTGTGAACTTGACATCCATGTCGATTCCAATGGCAAGAAAGGAAGCGAGAAAAATCTATTTTTGAATCCTACCATCCATGATGAGAAATTGGCTCTGCTCAGGGGAGAGGTGCGACCTGGCATAGGTCAACACTAAATATGGACCCAGACCAAGACGCCTCCTGTATTCTTCCCTCCCTGGAGCTTCTGGCGGGGCCTGGGGGAGCTGTGCTCCCTCCCCTGTGTCACATGCAGGCCTGCGCAGGGGGGCTCGGGGAAATGGGCCGGCTCTGTGCTCCCCCGCAGCCCCACGGAGAGCCCTGCAGTGGGCCTGGCGCTGTCACGCGCCTCTCCAGACCCCGCGCACGAGGCCGGGAGCTGAGCGTGCGCCTCCTCGGCTGAGCGCAGTCCCACTTCAGACTGAAGAGGCTTCTCTCTGATTGAACTTGAAACCAAACCGTCATGTTCTCGAGCCCAAATGTACCCGGGTGTGTCTCTCATTTCTCTCCATCCTCCGCCCCCAAGCCCCCTCCCCTTGGCAGAAAAAAAATAAATATAATTTCTCTCCCCAAAGATGAACTTTAGCTTTGGAAAAGAATCGTAATCGCAGCAGCTGTGTGGCTCTTTGGTGTCTGTGAGAAGCCCTCGAAGCCTCCAAGGTGGCTGGTCTGCGCCCTCACCCAAGGAGGGGAGAGCAGGGTCCTGGGGCTGTCCTCGGTGTCTTCCCACTTGTCCTCCCTGCCCTGCTCTCTCTTACCCCGCGGTTGGCTGAGCAGAGAGCCCAGAGCTTGGAATCCCCGCAGACTCGGATGTGAATCCCAGCTCTTCTACTTATTAGCTGCACACCTGTCTCGGGGTCTTCAAGCCTCAGTGTGCTCATCTCTGAAGTGGGCCTTGCAATCCTGACCCAGCCCAGCTGTGAGGAGGCCCCGCTGAGATTTGGCTAAAGCCGAATTTAAGTCCCAGGCGCGGGGTGGGGGTGTGTGGGGGTGTCAGGGAAAGGCAGGAAGGCAGCCCCGGTTTGCCTGTAAACCCCTAGCCTGTGGCCTGGTGGTGGAGAGACCACTGCCCCACTGTCTCTAGGATATTTCAGCTCTAGGGCTCTAACCAGGTGCCCTGAATTTTGGGCACTGGGCTCGCCTAGTTACAGGAGCCGTCCCTTTGGGAAGAGCTGCATCTCCGGCAGGGCCAGGCAGCTGTGCCCTTTCCTGGAGGGAGGATGGAGAATGCACAGTGTTTGGGGGGGCAGAGGGGAAGAGGGGACAAAGGCTCCTGAGTGAGCCTTCATCGGGCCTCAGTTTCCCCAGCTGTACAATGTCCCACTAGGACTGGACCAGTCGGGGTGCAGAACTGGATGCCCCAGCTGCCTTGCCCCTGCTGTGCACGCCCAGGATTAGCTGGTCTCTGAGGCCCCTCCAGCTGGACGCTGCTGGGCTTGCCTGATCAGTGATTCTGTCTTTAATCAAGGGCAAAGTGGTCTGGTGCAGTCTGGGGGCCATGTTAGTGTTTGGAGAGGGGGGAGGGGGAGAGGAGGAGGGGGCGTGGAAAAGGGCTGGAGATAACATCTCTTCGCTTCGCTTAGAAAACTTTCACCCATCACCAGCTTCCTTGCTGCCCCCTGGGAGACTGAAGCCCAGCCTCTGTTCCTGCTTACCAGAGGACCACTGGCTTTCTGGGGAGGGGGGAGTAGTAGGCAGAGCAGAAGGATAGAGTTCAGCTCGGTTGGCAGGTCTAATCCCTGCTACCTGTGTAGACCGCCTGCCACGCCAGGCTGTGATGACCGGTGGGTCAAGCATTTCCCGAGGGCGGGGCTATTTGCCTCTTCTGTGAGCTCAGAGGCCTGTACTTCAGACAGGAGGGGAGTGAGGGGAGGGGAGGGATGCACAGATAGAGGAGGGGCTGCCCTGTGTGCCTCAGCCCCCAGGGCCCGCTTGCAAACAGCAGACAGAGTCGACTTCTCCCCAAGGGACCCGATTGGCATTTTCGTTCTTCTGTGCAGCCTTGAAGCCTGTGATAGTCACCAACCACCCTCCCCATGGCTTCTCAGCTACCCTTTCTCAGTGTCTGCTTGCTGAAAAGAAATCTCAGGTCTCCTGAATTTACAAACGCTTTGAGACTAGAGCAAACCAACAGAAAGCTCTAGGCTTATAGATACCGTCAGGCAGGAACCCCTCTCCCTGCAGCGGCCCTGCAGGGGGCTCTGCTAGAGGGCTCCATCCACAGGACACTGTCCCCACCCCCTCCGCTGCCAGCTCTCTCTGGCCACCTGGGGCGCAGGCCCGCTGGCAGCTCTTGGAGGAAGGGCAGGAAGGGGCCAGGCCTTGTAAGTACCTTGGTTTCCTACTTAGGAAAACCCGAGTTCCTTTTGGGGACAGGTGTGGCATCCCCGTTTATAGACAAGGAAACTGGGCTCTGAGTGGAAGTGGTCGGGGCTCAGCAGGCAGGGGATGGAGCTGGGATTAACAAGCAGGTACCAACTGGCCAAGGGAGTGCCCTTTCAGCCTAAGCTCCTGACATTTAGGCTTGGAAGCTGTTGAGGGAGACTGCCCTCCCAAGGCCTCCCTCCCTTTCCAAAACTGGAGAGGGCAGCGGTGGGAAGGGACCCAGGTAGGGAAGGGAGGGGTCTAGATGGGGCACACTCCATGGCTGCGGGGGGAGGGGGGTCCTTGGTGCTCCGTGCTGTCCCCACGGGGCACCTCGTGACTTGGTCTGGAGGACAGGGGTGGGCCCTCACCTCAGGCCGCTCGGTCCTGATATCCCCGCTTCTCCTTAGCGTCTGGCTGGGAACGCAGCCCTCCCTATCTGCCCGCTGCCTAGGATAATTTTGGAGGCTGAGGTCAGGGTCCTCGGAGGGAGGGGGCATCAGAGAAGCCGTGCGATCTCCATGCAGTGGACAGTTGGACCTCCAGCCACTCCCACCGGAGCCCAGAGGACTTGGGCAAGAGGCCTTCCATCTCTGGACTCAGTTTCGTCACTTGAGGAGAGTTTGTGGAAGAGGATGGGGTAACGGAAAGGCAGGCACGTGGGGTCCCAGCTGGTCGGGGCGGCTACTGTGTGACTGCTGCACTCCAGCCTGTCACCAAAGCCGTTCCCAACGCACCCAGACCCCGCTTCTGGGTCTTCGGCAGACGACAGGGAAGAGGCGTCGTCCACAAGGGGGTCGGGGGGCTTCCCTCCAGCCTCCAAGAGTCCACCCAGAGGAGGTCCTGCTTCTGGGTTGCAGACTTAGGGCCTCAGGGCCAGCAGGGTGGGAAGTGCGGGCTCCCCCTAGCCTGACTTCCCAAACCCATCCCAAGGACAGCAAGTCTGTCCTCAAACCTGCCAGGGCACTGTGAGACGGCCCAAAGGCCAAGGCCTCCCAGCCCAGGTTCATAGTGGCAGAGATCACCCGCAACCCCAGCGCTGTGGGAAGGGTAGGCCAAGAAATGGGTGGGCGTCCACTCCCAGTCCTGTGGCATCTGTATGCAAACTAATCAATGCAAATGAAGCATACACAAAAGATCCTTCTACTGTCAGGACCTCCTGGTACCCTCCCCAGAGGTTAAGCACCTTTGATTCCCTTTCTGCCACCTGCCACCGCCTACCAGGTCCTTCCCCATTTCCCTAAACCTCCCTGATAGGGAGAGGGGTGGGGGGAGACAGCCCAGCAGACTGTGGGGCTCTAAGTTCAGGCTGGGGGCTTCTACCAGGAGTTTTTTGGAGGGGGAGGGTCTGTGGCAGGGTCACCATCCCCCAGCCGCACTTCCCTGAGACCCGGGGCCAGAAGCCTCCCGGTGGTTCTGGAATATGTGCTGAGTGCCGGGTGTGCAACTGTGCACGTCAGTGTGAGCATACTTGTGAGCTTGCCCACATGTGTCAGTGCGGGCAAAGATGGATGTGTTGGGGTCTGCGTGTGTGTGTGCGCGCGCGCGCGCCCGTATGCGCTGGGTGACCGTATATGCGTGTTTTGATAAGCGTGTAACCAGGAGCCTGAGATTTGTGAGTTTCAGGGACTGGGTATGTGTGTGTGTGAATATCAGATGTGTGAGAGCCTTCCGGCAGGCCTAGGGCCTGACTGCGTGTGTGTGGGTGTATGTGACTGAACACGTGCCCGGGTGTCTGTATGTTTACAAGGGTATTCGCATGTTCAGGTGTGCACGTGGCTGTGCACGTGCCTCTGTGTGGATGGCCGGGCACATGTTGACGGATGTCCAGGGTTTCATAACTGTTATGTCCTCAGCCCCTCTGCGTGCCTATGACTGAGCCTGTGGCGCTCCCGACTATTTCTAGGACGTGTGCGTGTGTTGCAGCGTGTGTTTGTGGCGTAGAGTGTGTCGGGGTTGCCTTGTGCTGCTACGAGTGTGTCTGCATTTCCCTGCGTCTTTATGGCTACGAGTGTGGGTGCCTAAGCCTCCTCATAAGTGTTTTTCCCGGTGCGTGTGCGACAGTGTGCGTTTTCCCCGTCTCTAGAGTGTGCGTTTGGGTTTTTCTGGGTGCGTGAGCCATGGCATGCGTGCTTGGGACCTTGGCGATAAGTGTTTTGGTGTTTCTGTGCGTGTTTCTGTATTCCGAGCGTATCCTCGCGTCTTCCTGGGGTCTGCGGCCCAGCCCGTGTTTGGCTCATGCGACTTGTCCTAAGCGGGCCCGTGTGTGCGCGCCCGTGTGCCGTCCTGTGGGGGGAACGTGTGCCAAAGGCGCGCGGGGTACCGGTGCCCGTCTAGCCAAGAGTGCCCCGCGTGCGCGAGCCGGTTTCCGGGACGCCGCAGTGGTGGGGGGCGGCCCCGCGAGGGGCGGGGGGCACCGGGACTGGCCGGGGGCGGCCCCGT